TGACATCTTTATGAGGAATATACAGCAAAGAAAAGAGGACTTTCTTCACACTAAAGCACACACATTTCCAGCACTAAAACATTGATTGATTGTAATTGGTTGAGTGTCATTCAAATTGCAAGAGAAAGGCTGAAGCGGTGATGCATTTTTTAAAGACTGTAGACTAGAGGATGGGATGTTTCACCAGCACACGGTGGCATTTTAAATGCATGAGGCTTATGTTGTAAGGGAAAGCGTAAACTGGTGTATTCTGAGAAAAGACATTAGTGTGTAAAAAGAGATGTTTTTCTTTTCATATTCATGCTTGAAAGACTGAGAACTATAATCAGATGTGTTTCACTGGACTTCGAACAATGATAAAGGGATATTTCGGGACTTTGCATCATGGTTCACCGATGTGACCTTGTGTTCACCTTCAGCTCTGTTGTGTTTATTAGACTGCACTCAATGTGACCACATACTGTGTTATATAGACGGGTTATATCTGTGCTATTTTAGAACTAATAATTTTATATATAGAACTAATATATAAAATATATATAGTGTTTATATATATATATATGTGTGTGTGTGTGTTATACAATACACTACCATTTATTATACACTACCAGTCTTTTTTTTTTTTACTAAAATTAATACTTTTAATCAGCAAATATACATTAAATGGATACAAAATGACTGTAAAGACATTTATAATGTTTTTGGTTTTTAAATCTTTTGAACTTTCTATTACATTAAACATTTCTGTATTAACTGTTTATCATAATAAGATACGTTTTTTGAGCAGCGAATCAGCATATTAGATATTTTTGCTGTATTTTGATCAAATAAATGCAGCCCTGGACATAAGAGACTTCTTTTTTTTGTGTTATTATTGATATTATTAAACAACAAAACTGTGATTTTTTAAAAATAGATTTTCTGTGCATTTATGTTATTATAATTGTGTATTTTATTTTATGTAATTATGTATTTTACATATAATTTATGTATTTTATTGTAATTCTGTATTTTATTTTATTTATTTTAATTTTTATTATTAAATAATTTTAACATTTATCCAGCCTCTACGATGTTGGGAAATATTAAGAAAATGAATCAACAATTAACAGTCTAAACTATTTACAAGCTCTGTCTGACACTGCTCACAGAAGAAGCCCTCACAGTATCAAATAGTCCATAGTCCTCCTGAGGTGAGGGCAGCGGGTGGTTTGAGGACAGGAGGTGCAAGATGACCGCTGCAGGGTTCGTCTGCTGTCCTGCTGATGTCATGGCGTCTGCTGGGGGTCCTGGACGAGACAGAGGGTCAGTGGAATGACGCGCTCCCAGTTGACTGAACTACTGTGGGTCCAGAGGGATGGGGGAAACGAGGCGGGATGTGGTTGAATTTCCCATGTTCCCATTCCCTAAGTGAATAACCCCTTGTAAGAGCAAAACCAAAGATGGGGGAACAACTCAAGATGTGCGTGTGCTGATGGGAAGTAACCACAGACCAAGCACCTCATCATCTGGCTGGACTTCACAGTTTAGACAAAGTCAGAAAGCTCCAGTTCTCACTGGATTCAAGGCTGAACAGCAATACATCTATCAATCTGCTCATTATATATATATATATATATATATACACTACCGCTCAAAAGTTTGGGATCAGTAAGACTTGTAATGTATTTGAAAGAAATCTCTTATGCTCTTCAAGGCTGCATTTATTTGATCAAAAATACAGAAAAAAAACAGAAATCTTGCAAAATGTTATTACAATATAAAATAATGGTTTCTATTTGAATACACTTTAAAATCTAATTTATTCCTGTGATGCAAAGCTGAATTTTATTACTCCAGTCTTCAGTGTCACATGATCCTTTCAGTGTCAATCCTTCAGAAATCATTCTAATATGCTGATTTATTATCAGTGCTGGAAACGGTTGTGCTGCTTAATATTTTTTGGAACCTGTGATACTTTTTTTCAGGATTTTTTGATGAATAAAAAGTTAAAAAGAAGAAAGAGGATTTAAAATAGAAATATTTTCTAACAATATACACTACTACTATCACTTTTTATCCATTT